ATCAGACCCACTAGTCTATTCTTGGTTTTATAAGAGACACATACTTTAACACCATCTTCTTTCTCCTTTTCTTTCTTTTCTTAAGCAATTCTTTTTGTCAAATAGAGCATAGATTAGTTAGCAAAACAAACTCTAACATCTACCACTTACAAATATATACTCTCTTGCTCTGAGCTCTTGCTTTACTAACAGCAGTCATCTGAAGAATCTGATCATGTGTCCTCAAGTCTGATGCTTCTTTACCACTTCACATCAGACTCTAACAGACTAGATGCAAGAATAGAAGAAGAAAAATCTAATAAACTGTCATACTAGATAGATCTAATTCAAAACTACTAAATATAATGAAGAAAAGAGGAGTCTAAAGTAATTATGCAATATATACTCTCTTGTTTTGAGCTCTTGCTCTACTAACAGCAGTTGTCTGAAGAATCTGGTCACATGTTCTCAAGTCTGATGCTTTTTTACCACTCCACATCAGACTCTAACAGTTCAGATTCTCATAGATTTTTTTTAAATATTTGAACACTTTCTCTGCTGTTTAATAATGTTTCAGATGTTCTTCTTGCATGCAGAGAGCAATATGATGTGTGGCATTTTCATCAGTTTAATTCTTAATATAGATGATCTTGCTGATTTCTGTGAGAAAGTAGTCTGCATTCTCTCACAGTTTATTCTTCATTCTGAAAAGTTAATGCTTAAACTTGAGTTTCTTTTCATCTGTGAGATGCTTGAGATCATCAATCTTGATTAATTACTTTTTTCTGAATTCAGTTACACAAGCAGAAGTGCTTTCTCATTTCTGCATGTTCAGTAATATAATCATATATGCTTCTTTATATTAATCTTGTTTCTCCATCAGAGCAGTCACTTATTTCTTTAGAATATTAATCTGATTCTGAGCTTCTCTTCTAATTTATTTGCTGTGCACTCAAGTTTCATGAATTGTGCTGCTGATTTTATTATAGACTGCTCATGCATTCTGTTTTACAGCAGTGTTAAAGTATTCAAAAGAAATTCAATTCATTTCATTCTCTTGTGAGTTTGAGGCTAGATCAATCTATCAATACAAGAAAAGATTCAATAGCTGATTCTTTAATGATG